ACTTTTTCTTTCCAAATCTTCAAGAGAGTGGGCTTAAATTCTGAAAGAGTTAGATGGTGTGAAGAACTGGGTCATGATGGGTGTGTTTTGCGGCTTGGTCATTTAGGTGGGTGCGTTCTTTGAGTTAAAACTGTGAAAGAAAAAGATGAAGAAGACGGCAAGGTAAGAGAGGTAGTTGGGACCAGACACTAGGGGGAAAGGGAGCAGAAAAGATAAAGTACGTACGGATAAAAGAGAAAAGAAGTTAATAAGGGTCATTACCTACTTACTTAATTATTACTTATTTAATTTATTGCTTAAACGTTCATTACTTTTCTACTTAATTGTATATATGTGTATATTTGTACATTTGCATAATCTTTGTTTATATAATGTACTGCATTTAAATGCAATGTTTGATTATTTGTGTTATAATATTGCTATGCCTTATTTGTGTGGAATTGGGATGCAGTGGGTCACCACGGGTTTGTGAGAGCGGTCTACGATATCGCCGGCCACGTATGGGGAGATCGACACCTTAGATGACATGAAAAGGGGCAGTATTTCTAGTGCTAATGCCTGAATACATTCACACAAAGTATCTTTTAAGTTGATGCAAAACTTTGGCCTTGCCTTTATCCACCTTAGATGGCTCACTAATATCTAGCCAAGGTAGAAAAACAAAAAGGGCTCAACTCAACAAAGAATGCATGAAAAATCATATATTAAAATGAGATAAAGAAAAACCCCAACCTAATTCTTACAATCAAACTCAAAATCAAAATTTTCTACTTACTTGAACTATAGAAATTCTTGAACTTTTCTTCAAATCTTCAAGAATGGCTTTAATCTTAAAGAGTTAATGTTAAGTGTCATATGGTTTTGGCTTGGTTTAGTGTGGTTCTTAGTAAAACTTGAAAGAAAAATGAGAGAAGAGAGGTAGAGAGTATTGGACCAACATAGGGAAAAAGAGAGAAGAAAAAGAAAAAGAAAAAGAAAAAGAAAAAGAAAAAGAAAAGGAAGACTATAGTTTAGTTAAAGGGTATTTTGGTAATTTCAAACAACTTCCTCATAAAGTTGTTGTTTAAGGGTGGAGATTTATAAGCCACATCTCCCTAATCTAATGGCTACAATTAATTCCTAGTACAACTTCCATAAATTCCATTTTCTCTGCAAAACTAATTAAATTTTTTCAATAATATTAATCTCTAATTTTTCTAATTTCTAAAAATACCCCGAAATACTATTCAGTGATTACGTAATTTCTACCAATACAATCATAACTTAAATTCTACCCATAAAAATTATGCATGTATGAACCAAAATAAATTCTAAAAATATTAATTATGAAAAATAACATTTCTAGGTCGAAAAAATACTAGTTCCCTCTTGGGCGATACTATTCATGGCTCACCAAATTACTATTTATAATTTAGAAAATTTAGAATGTTACACTATCTCCTACTTTAGAAGCTCACCCTTGGCTTTTGGGTTCCAGTCTGACTCTTCTTTTGGGATGTCAGATAACAGGTGGTCTTCCTTCTCAATGTTCAACTCCTTTATGGGCATCCACATTATAGAGGGTGCTAGTAGGACCTTTTGAGAGCAATTACATATGCCTCTTGGGTCGCCTTTTGGTTATCCTTAACAATAACACATCATTATTAATTGAATAAAATTTGACAATAAGATACATGATAGAGGATATTGCCCTAAGGTCATATAAGGTCAGTCTGCCTAGTATTGCATTATAGGGAAATGGTCTGTTTGCCACCATGAACTCAGTTTTAAAGAGCTTAGTGGGTCTTGTATCTCCAACCTCCATGTTGACATCAATTGCTCCCTCAACTGTGACGGGCTTCTCAAATAAGCTAATTAGGGAAGTTCGAACTAGTTTCAACTTTGTGTGGTCTAGCTTTAATGTTTTAACGACTTCTAGGGTCATCAAGCTCACCGCGCTTCCATTATCAATTAGAATTCATTTCACACGAAAGTTCTCCATAACTCCCTCAACCACCAAGGTAATGATGTTCAGGGTATGAACATGGGTCCCATCCTTCTCAAAAAATGTGATAGGTTTTCGAGTCATACTCATAAAGTGAGGCATCACTGAGTATATTTCTCAAGCGTGCCTTTTTCTAGCTGAATTGCTATCACCACCTATAAAACCATAAAAAATAGTGTGAATTGTACCTATGGTGTCTAATTGGGAAGTTTGCTAGTCCTTTCGCTATAAGGGTTCGGGCTGCTGATCGGCCTGCCTGTGCCTCACTTCACTAATGAACTCTTTCAGTTTGCCTTTCTAGATAAGGCACTCTAAGCCCCTCTTCAATTGGTAGCATGCTTCTATGTTATGGTCGATGTCTCTATATATGCTTTTGTCTTTAAATCTTGTTGTGTCTTATGTCAGCTTCATGGGGTAGTTCAGCTACAATTTGTTGCCTTGCTCCCTCATTCAGGTTAGGATCTTGGTTCAAGTTTTGTTCAAAGGGGTAAATTCTTTCTTATGGGTGAACTTGCTTTCTCGATGGTAAGGTGCCTTTACTTTGTAGCTCAGCCTAGGATGCTTTACAGTGGACTTCGTCTGATCGGAGATGGGTACGTTTGACTTTTAGGTTTATCTGACTCTCGTGTCCTATGTTGTTGAGCAATGTACGCCTCATTGTGTTTTATGTAATTATGTGCTTTGGTCATAAGCTTTGCAAAAGACAGAGGAGGATCAATGCTTATACTTTTAAACAGTTTGTTATACTTACAATTCTTCGCCAAGGCATTAATGGCGACTTCGTCATTTTAGGTTCTCCACTTGCATGGCTGGCTTTTGGAACCTGGCTATATATTGCCTCAGTGGCTCTCCTTCCTCTCTTTTCAAAAGGATTAGATCGGAGGAGATCTTCTTTGATGGTAAGCTTGTTATAAAGTGGGCTCTGAATATTGTGGCCAATTGAATAAAAGACTAGATAGAACCTGTTTTAGTGTTTGGTACCATTATTAAGTTGCGCCTTTGAGTGTGAGTGGGAAGACCTTGCACATGAGCTCATTTGAGTTTGTCTGTAAGTATATCAGGGTTCTAACGGTAGCCAAGTGGCTATGAGGGTCAGTAGACCCATCATATGATTGGAAAGGATGCATCTTGAACTTAGGTGGGAATATCGCTCCAAAGATGTTGGCTGATAAAAGCGAGTCGTCCCTAAGTCCATAGTTGCTGGTTTCTCCCTCTTTTTCAAATATTGATATTATCATGAACTAATGGAAATAAATTGGGTAAAATTAAGTAAAGTCAAATTCTCTAATAACTTTTATCTCTTGAATTTTTTTTTCAATTTATTTGATTGATTTTTTTAAATTGAATTTTTATTTTAATTTGTTTCTTTTAATTTCTAAAACAATTCTCTTAGTTTTCATTTTACTAATAGTATGCTAATATAATTTTGGTACTTGTAACAATATTTTACTCATTACTTTATTATTTGTTAAGATTTTGTGTACTTGTGAAATTAGACTATCAGAAACCAACCCCAACTGCTTGTTATGGATTTATTGGATTCTTGATTCTCAAATTCTTGTTAAGTAAAAATAAAGATGATTTTGTGTATATATGTTAAAGGCTTCCATTCCAGGTGGAAAAGAATATTATGAAATTTTTTCGATGGTGTTAATATGTTCTTGAATTTTTTTTATTTAAATCTCTGGACAAAGAAATAGGAATAAAGAGTGTGAGAGAAGGAAAGAAATGATTCATAGTTTATAGTTGTCACCATGGAGATAAAGAGTTATTTGATTGAGTCTTGAAATGAGTGAGCCCACCTAAATGGAGGCTATAAAATATTGTTCTCATTTGCATACCCTATTTCCACCTGTGTACACGTACTGACCAGGCCCAAAGCTGTGCTATTCGAGTCTTTTTGTATAACTTATGGAGCTATAAATTTAAAAAGTGCGCATTTTCAACATTTGAAGCAAATTTATGGGGTAAAGATGAACTTTTTTTTCGTTTTTGTAAAATTATAAGTTACTCCTCGAGCTAAGTTAAATTAATGACTTAATGCATAAATTCATCTTTCAACTTTGCAATTTTAACCTTATGGTACCTTGAACTTTATGAATGACCTATCATGCACTTGAACTTATAAATGGTACTATTACACACTTTCAATGCTAATATCAATAATTTTTAGGATTTTTAACTTTTATCTATAAAATATCGACTTGATATATAGTTAATATGACTTTTAAAACAATCATTTTCATAAATTTCAACTTTTTAATGAGTGTTTATTTATTTAATTTTTCAAGTTGAAGTTTTCAACAAAATAAATTGAAAAATTAAAGCGTTTGATGGATTGAATATTAAGTTGAAGTGTTTGATATGTTAAAATAAAAGTTGAGGGTGCAACAGAGTTAAAATAATAAAATTCATAGGTGAATTTATATATTCGGCCTTAAATTAATATCTGAAAACTTTTATTTGCAAAAAACTAATTATAAAATTTTTAAATTATAATTTTATTAACACTTTCGTCATTTCGTTTGAAATAGATGGACGAAAGTATTAACAAAAATCATAAGGGAATGACCAAAATATTAACAACAATCATAAGTTAGTGACCTTATGGTTATTTTAACTATAACTTAGAGACCAAATTAATAATCAATTGCCAATTAAAACATGCTATTTCAGATGGAAGGACAAATATATAAATAGAATAATAAATTAATACCTCATAATTAATAATTAATGTTATGTTCGACAAGAGCTTCTAAAGTAGTTTTTAGCATTTTGATTGATAAAAAATTAACCAATATATTGTTTGGCTTTTAATTTTTTATGAAAATTCACTTAAATAAATAATTTTACCTAGGAAGATAGCTGGCCCTAAGTTTAGAAAACAGAGATATTCATATATCAATTTAATTAATAATTATAATGAAAAAGCAATTTTATTATTTTTCCTTTTTTTCTCTCTCTTATGTACCAAAAAATAGCAAAGAACTGACAGGTGACAACAGCTTTGATATTTATTTATATATGAAGTGGGACCCACGAACCCACGAAGCGCCAATTCTACAAAACGAAGAGAGTTGAAGAGAGCTGTTTAGAGGACGAGGACCAACTCATTGTCAGCACTATCAGCCACCCACTGCTTCTCTCCTCATCCAGGTAACCCATATTTTACCTCTCCTAACCTTTCTTTGTTAAACCATTTATAAAAATTTGGATATGACTTTGTGGTTACTCTGTATGCAAAATTTGTAGAACATCACAGTGAAATCAAATATGAAGTTGGTTTATTCTATGCCGCTTTTTGTGTTTTAAATTTCAACTTTTTTTTGTTTTAAATTTTCATGTTGAACTGAAAAGCAGAGCGCAGGAATGACTCCTCTTCTGTATGGAAACCCAAATTGCAACATTTTATACAAACTTGGGGGTATTTCTTATGTGGGTATTTCAACAACTATTCCATTATTGCAATTGGGAGCAGGAAATTATCATGGTTACATGGCAGGTCAGTAAGTTTTTGCCTTTTTTTTTTTTTTTTTTTTTTATTTTTTACTCCTTTCTGTATGGAAACCCAAATTGCACATTTTTATACAAAACTTGGGGTATTTCTTTATGTGGGTATTTCAACAAACTATTCCATTATTTGCAATTGGGAGCAGGAAAATGTATCATGGTTACATGGCAGGTCAGTAAGTTTTTGCCTTTTTTTTTTTTTTTTTTTTTTTTTTTTTTTTTTTTTTTTTAATTTTTTGACTTTTAGCTTTGTTAGCTTTCCTCATCTTATATAAGATGTAAGGTTATCTTCAATTTCACTGATTAAAGCTGCTTTTATGGAGGATTTAATTGATGCCAGTTATGGCATTGAAGAAGTTTAGGCTCTCAGTTATTTGGACATTGGCTTTGAGCTTCCATATTGCAGTTTAAGATTAGTTGAACGAGACTTATAACTCCTAGGTGTTCTTTAGCTGGACAGATTCATGAGGGGGAATGAGAACTTTACTGCGGATGAAATTCTGATACCTACGAAAAAGGAGTAATTTCAAGCACTCTATGGTTTAAATTGTTTTTTTTTTTCTTGCTTTGTATATTCGAATCCTTTTATTTATAGAATTTGAACTGGAATCATAAATCAAATCTTTAGATTTTTCATGTTTTTGTCCAAGTGCAACATATAGATTTTCATCGATAGTTATTTATAGGAATTTTCTTGTTAAGATCCTATAAATACTTTAGAACCCAATACCTCCTTTCATCTGCATATCAGAGAGGAAAACTTTGTAAGTATTAGCCACTATATTATGTTGTCAAAAAGATTTAGTCTCTTAGTAGCCTTTGGTTATTTAATTAGCTATGTTGTTTGGATGTCTATCCTTTATTTGATAAAGTTTTGCCTTTTATTTGCTATGTTGTTTGGATTTCTATCCTTTATTTTGATAAAGTTTGCCTTTTATTTGCTGAGAGTGAGAAATGCCTATACCTCCATATCTCAATATGATTGTGCTTTATATAAAAGTGGGCACGTCTATATCTTATCAGTTGGTTTAAATATAATGTAAGTTGTAGAATTTAGGCATGTTTTGCCAAATTGAGCTTCAGAAATCCCTCATAAAACTCTAGGTTATATTTCACTAATAAAATTCCATTGGTATCTTTCTCTCTGATAAAATTAATCCAGTAGGTATGGCACAAGTTTATTGGTGTATTTCCATTCCTGGAGTTGACATTTTATGGTGCAGTTTGTTTTTATTTTTACAACAATCCTATCCAGGGAGTGAAAAAGACTTCTTATGTACTACTTTTTGGTTATGAGTTCACACTGCAACTCCCTTGTTTCTTCCTTCCTCTGTCCTTAATGTTATTTGGGTTTCTTTTTCTTCTAAGTTTGTCTACTTCTGAGTTTGACAATTATCAAATGCTGCTCTGGATGCAGTATTTCATAATGGCTTTTGCTTCTGTATGTTATTTGTATTCATGACAATGTTGGTTTAGCTTCTGATTTGTAAATAGTTATAATTGCATAGAAGCTTCAAATGTGTCTTTTTTTCATTTTGTTTGTTTTGACAAAGATGAGCTTTTCATATGACATTATTGTGGGGCATTTTGGTATTATAAATACGACTCCAAATGTTAAAAGTAGGCATTGAGAATTTACTGTTCACAATTGTGGTTAATATTTTTAAATAATAGTTACGAATCTATTTATCAATTCAATCATTCAGGAATGCATATTTCACAAAGCTTGAACAGAAGGGAGACATTTTCTTTTCCAAGAAAAGAATCCAACAGTTTGATATCAAAGAAAGTTAACTTTATTACTCCTAGAAGTGGCAGTTCCTCAGATTCCAGTAGCAATGAAAATGATTCCTCTGATCAAGGCAAGGCATGTATGAGCAGCTAATGTGAACAACAGTTTGATATCAAAGAAAGTTAACTTTATTACTCCTAGAAGTGGCAGTTCCTCAGATTCCAGTAGCAATGAAAATGATTCCTCTGATCAAGGCAAGGCATGTATGAGCAGCTAATGTGAATAAAAATTAGGATTGTTTATTTCATACACGCTGATTATATAACTTCATAACACCTGAAATGACTAGAGAAGTCATCACAAATCTTTTGCTCATATATTTTACTTGTTCCTATGGCAGACACCCTTTGGATACAACAGGAAAGATGTTTTACTGATAGGACTTGGAGTTACTGTTCTTGGAATTGGCCTAAAGAGTGGACTGGAGGTATCCTGACTTCCCTTTATTTCTGCTTCCTGCTCATTCTTATACCATTTTGTAGTTCTTTGTTGACAGAGTAAAGTACTGTTATATCCATCTAAAGTGAAGCATTATGAAGTAGTGAAATGACACCTAAGGGAAAGTAGTTAGTTTGGTCCTCACATTATTATCTCTTGTGGGAAATTTCACTACTTTGCTGAAAGTGGTTGGTAACCTTGGAATGATCCCATGAATTCCTATAGTATTTCTCATAATCTTACTCTAACACTGTTCTTTTTCCTATTTATCGTGCAGTTTGCTGGTGTTGATCCTTTACAAGCAGGCAATGTTGTTCAATTGGTACTGGTTTTGGGTTTAACAGTTGGATGGATTTCTACGTATATCTTTAGGGTCTCAAACAAGGAAATGACATACGCTCAGCAACTACGTGACTATGAGGACAAAGTTATGCAGGTAGTAATCTATTTAGATTTACCTTCTTATATCCAGCAAAATCTGTTGTTAGCTGATGAAGTATGCAAATGAATCCGTATTTTATTTAATGCAACAACAATTTTGTTTTCCAGTTTCATTTTTTCTGATCTCCAAGGTTATTATCTTTCAACATCTAGCAAAAATGGTTGAGAAAGCAGCAAAACTGCACCTGATTTTAATAGTCAATAAATTGCAGCTATGATTTGTAAAGCTTGATTATGTTCAAAGAGCGAACTGTCTTTTTGAGCTTGGCCACTGAAGCTGTAAAAGCAAAATATTTGATATTTGATTTATCTTCTATTTTAGCCTTTGTCTTCTGAGTAATCCATACTGTGTCAAAATATATAGAAAGTCGTTTCACAACATTTTTGTGGGGCCTAAATCTGGGCATCATTCCTTTGTTGTTTTATAAAACCATATCATGAAAAATCCTGAAAAAAATTGCATTGAGGCATCGTATGTTTTTTGATGACTGACGATTTTTCACTTGAAGAACATTATGGCTCACTTTAGATTGGCATACCATACTACATATCTTGATTTCCTGTTATTGTGGGCAAATATGATGTGCTGTGGTTGTTTTCTTTTTATATCTCCAACATTTAATTGTTTCTTATTCTAATTCTGCAGAAGCGGATAGAGGGTTTGACAGAAGCAGAGTTAGAAGCACTGCTTGAACAAGTTGAGGAAGAGAAGAGACGCCTAGGAAGTGGAGATAAGATTAATTGAAGTTTACTTGCTTTATCATTTAAGGTCAGCTCAATTAAGCCTTATGTCCAAAATTTCTGTACAATAATCAAGTTTGATATCTATAATTTTTAGATAATCAATTTACAGAACGTAGTTTTACCTTGTATGTAGCCCCTCAGATATAACGTGCAGATAATTTTCTTGCCATGTGATTTTTTAGTTGAAATGCAAAATCCAGTAACTGCGGACTTCAATAGTTAACCAGAAATCAGCTTTTTCAGCAATAACTTCTAAGATAATGTTTAATGTTTTTACTAGGATCAAAATGTTACATCTATTATTCATACTGTTATTTAAAGGTTTAGAGATTAGATTATGAAGCGTTACTAAGTGCTACCATAATAACTAGTGTTGTTGTATAGGACTTCAATAGAGAATTGAATTTAATTTCTTAAAGGTTTGATTATTATGAGTATACAAAACATAACTAATACAAAAATTTACACAATATTATTTTATTTTTTAAAATTTGAAGGGCATAATGACCAAAAAAGGCTTAATTTTTTGCATTTTTATTAAATCTTTGGTCAATTTTTTAAATTTTCAATATACTAATTATTCGCGTCAGTTATGGCCTCTTCAACTCTTCGTCCAAAAGTCCATGACCTGACTATTAACTCTTAAAAGTAGACCCGATTATAAATTAGGTACCCACATCCATTCCAAATCCATTTAGAAATTCATATTTACTATCCGAATTTGTCTCAAATTCGATTATAATTACCTGTTTAAATACTCGTTGAGCATTAGAAATATTTTTTATTTCAATTTTTTTAAAATAAAAGGCAAGTAAAAATTATAGAATTATTTATTTGACTTAATAAAAAATATAATATAAATATCAAATAATTATAGAATTAATTAAAATTAAAAACTGTGTATATATAATTTTCATTTTTAAAAAATAATTATTTAAAATATTTTTCAATATTTATTAAATTGGTAGTGGGTATTCGCATTGTTAAACCCAAATCTGACCCCGAACTCCTCCAAACTCATTTATTCACCACCCAAACTCCTTAAAATCAGATTGGATCGTGTACTCGTCTAGTCAGGTTAAATTGGCTAAACATTTACTTAAACTAACGATTTAAAAAAAAAAAAAGATAAATTAGTATTTAGTCCCTAAGCATTTACTTAAACTAACGATTTAAAAAAAAAAAAAGATAAATTAGTATTTAGTCCCTAAGCATTTACTTAAACTAACGATTTAAAAAAAAAAAAAGATAAATTAGTATTTAGTCCCTAAGCATTTACTTAAACTAACGATTTAAAAAAAAAAAAAGATAAATTAGTATTTAGTCCAAAATTCATTATCTCATCCTTATCTATAATATATATAAAAGTACCAATGATGAGGGAAAATTGGGTTTCTAAAATGCTCATATTAAATTTATGAATTAACAAAAGTATCATTAATAATCCTATTCTAATTATGATATCAATTTATTATTTTTATTATATTAATATGATAAATTTAAATTTAATCACATTCTAATCAGAAACTTGTCCTATCATACCACTATATATATGTTTAGTTTTAATTGCTTTTGGCTATCAAGAATTCGTTGCTTTTGGCTATCAAGAATTGTTACATCAAGCTTTTGCTAATTTGAAATTATTGAGTTTGCAGTCATGTCTTCTTTTTGCGGTAAATATAACATTGACTCTCCCTATTTACAAATCAATAGAATAGTTTTTATTTATATTTTTTATAATTTAGATTTATAGATTTATAAATTAACTGTAATTGTTTAGTAATCATGAATAATTACAAGCTTACAAGTTTTATCTCCTGAATAGTATTATCATGAAATATCTTAAACAGATAGACCCTCTAATTAGAAAAATTTTAATTTTATTTATCAATTAAAATTATATAATAAATCTAATTAGATTGGTTATATTAGTTTCCTTAATCATAGTATTTTTATTAATTAGCAAATATTGTTTCATTATTTTTTCGTTTTTGGTTACTAAGAGTAGACAAAGGGTTCTACAAAGCTTTTAGAAACGGAATTGTTTTCCGTTTCTAAAGTTATAGCACATAGATTTTTTCTTCAGTCGCCAAGGCCTGTCTTCATAACTGATTAGCAACGAATTTTTATCCGTTTCTAAATTTTTAACCAAAATTCAGAAGCCACTTTCACTGCATATCTCTTCTCCCCACCTCTTTTGGTATGCTTGCACTTCCTTTTCTCTTTTCTTTCTCTCTTTTATTTTATATTTTATTAATAAAAGTTTAAATTTTATTTAGATTATAAAATTAATATTTGTCAAGATAACATCTTTTATTTTTTATTTTTTTAATTTCAAGTATTTCGATAGAAGTAAGATGGTTATGAGAATTTCAATATTCAAATTATAATAAAATAAATCATAATTTTTTTTGCATGTATAGGAATTCCAAATATATATATATATAAAGTGCGAATGAGGAAAACATTGAATTCCTAAAATGCCTCTACAGACATTTTAATTTTATTGGTTGATTGAAGAATAGTTTAATCTTATTTTTATTTAAAAACTCTTAATTTTATTGGTATTTTATTACTTGATTAATTAAAAATATCGTTAAAAATAATTTAGTCATATTCTAATTAGGAAACTTTGGAATTCCTATACATGTAAAAATACTATGATTTAATATCCTATAATTTACATATTATAATATAAGATATTAAATTTATTATATTGGTGACTCTTTTTTTATTAATATTGTAAATTTAATCTCATTCTAATTAGAAATTTGATTTTACTCCAACTCTAAATATGATTTCAATTTATTATTTTTATCATATGAATATTATAAAGTTAATTCCATTCTAATTAGGAATTTGTCCTTTAATATTATTCTAATTAGGATTTTATCATATCATACCATTATATGTACGTTTGGTTTTAATTGCTTTTAAGTTTTGACTGTCAAAAATTTGTTACTCTTGACTATCACGAATTTGTTGCTTTTGACTATCAATAATTATTACATCAAGCTTCGCTAATTTAGAATTATTGAGTTTGCAATCATGTCTTCTTCTTGCGGTGAGTATAATCTTAATTTTCTCCATTTATAAAATAATAGAATAATTTTTATTTATATTTATTTTTTCTTCCATTTATAAAATTAATAGAATATAATTTTTATTTATATTTATTAAGGATGTTCGAGCAAATATAGGGAATTTTAATCTAATTCAAATAGGAAATTATTAAAGATTTAATTTTATGGTTGAAAAATAAAGCTAATTTAATTTATAAGATTTTTAATTTCCTATTTTAAATATAAATTTTATTGGAATAAAATTAATAAATTATATATATTATAATATAGAATATATATTTGTAAGAATATAAAACTTTAAGGTATTTTAATTTTATGGTTGGCAAAAATAAAAGCTAATTTAATTATTTAAGCGCTAATTTAATTATTAAGGATATAAATTTTCAATTTAAATATAAATTCTATTAGATAAAATAATAAGTTATATTATATTATACATGGTAAGAATATAAAACTTTAAGAATTTTAATTTTATTGGTTGAAAAATAAAGCTAATCTAATTATTAAGAATGTAAATTTCCTATTTAAATATAAATTGTATTTGATAGAATAACAAATTATATTATATATTATGTAAGATATATATGGTAAGAATATAAAACTTTAAGAATTTTAATTCTATTAGATAGAGTAACAAATTATATTATATATTATATAAGATATATTGGTAAGAATATAAAAACTTTAAGAATTTTATAATTTTATTGGTTGAAAAATAAAAGGCTTAATCTAATTATTAAGGATATAAATTTCCTATTTAAATAAATTATTAAGGATATAAATTTCCTATTTAAATATAAATTCTATTAGATAGAATACTAAATTATATTATATATTGTATAAGATATATAGGGTAAGAATGTAAAACTTTAAGAATTTTAATTTTATTGATTGAAAAATAAAGATAATTTACTTCTGAACAAATAAATTCATTAGTTCGAAAAAAAAAGTTAAACATCATTGACTTTTGTGAATATAGTTTGTATTAGTTAATTGAAATTTGTATTTTCTTGACAATTAATACTGTCAAGACCGAAACCATGGGCCGAATCGTCATTAGGGCCCAGGTAAGGTTAAGGCCCCCACCCATAATAAGCCTAAACTACAAAATCCATACACGCCAAGCAAAGTCTTAGGAGCAGTAAACCGATATTAATTCCTATATATATGTATATATATATATGTTAATATCAAATAATCACATGATCCTGGCCTAATCTTAAAAGTGTTAAATAAAACGTAGTTTGAGCTTATTAGTAATACACCTCGTTCATAATATAGGCTACTAATTCATATGTATCTTAAATAAATAATTAGGACATTCATAGATTAGCATATCCATTCTTAATACAAGATAAGGGATACATAATCCTATAATTGCGGAGTTCAATAATAGCTAGGAGGAATAAAGTTCTTACTTATAGCAAACATAAATTAGCTAGATTATAGAAATTAGAATTTTACTTCTATAGCCCTGCGGAGAAGATTGCAGAGCCTCAATCGAATTGATAGGGGTTCTACTTCCTGACAAGTCAAATTAAAGAGGAGTGAGTTTTGCAACTTAATGAATACTAAATATTACATAACACACGCATTGACGCGAAATGCATCCTAAAATACTGAAGTGAACACACAAGTAATTTCGCCTTCAAATAATCAAGTGGTAATTTGTCAATGGCATCACTGAAACCCCCGACGAGCCGTCTTCCCACGTGGCCGGCCCTCTCAAATGTGTGCACCAAGGAGCTGATCCCCATATATGGCCGACCAGTCTAATCCTCACTTGACCAGTCCTCTCCTTTTTTTTTTATATATATATCCTCTTTTCTTTTCTATACCAATAGGCGGCCACCCTGTGGTTTTTCATATCATATATCATCAGATGCACACGGGGGCGCCGATCTCCCCACACATGGACAACGGTATCGAAGACCACCCTCACAAACTCATGGTGACCCACTTCATCCCAATTCCACACAAACAACGTACAACATTTTTCCGCCCTCTCAAACGTGTGCACCAGGAAGCTGATCCCCATACATGGTCGACCGGTCTAATCCTCACTTGACTAGCCCTCTCCTTTGTTTTTTATACTCTCTTTTCTTTTACATACCAACAGGCGGCCACCCTATGATTTTTCATATCAT